TATAGAAGATGACTAGTTTACAAATTTTGAGGAGCACACTATGGTTACTCCTGACGTCCAAGGTGGGTGAATTGATAGAGAAAACATACAAGGCATATAATGGGGTCCAGAAGCCGCTGAATATATGCGTGTTTTGCGTGATCAGATTGCAAATCAACTACTTTCACCTACTTTACATTGAATTATTATGTTATTTTAAATTTCATTATGTTTTTGTTTGAATATTAAATGATTTATGTTTAATTTACATTTTGTATGACATTTTTTATTTGTATGTAATTTACATTTTGTATGACAATATGTATGTTTTTATAATTATTCAACAACTTAATCCATCACTATATAACAGCAGGGTAAAATGGTCATTTTTCATCACTCAGCACATTCAGTCAGATGTACAATCAAACAATAGGATTTCTTACTCAGTCAGAATTTCTTACCCAGACAGACCTTTCCTAGTCAGCACTTTCTCAGTCAGCAACTATCAAACGGGGCCTAAGACAACTCGGCTTACGTGCTATGTTACACAAGTAAACATAACTAAGAATAAATTACACGGATGGTCCCTATGGTTTGGGGTAATTTGCGCGCTTGGTCCCTAACTTATTTTTTTAACTCGGAAGGTCTCTACTATTTGTTTTTGTTACGCGTTTGGTCACTGTCTTACCTAAAAAATCTATTTTTCTCTTGATTTTTTTTAATTTGTTTAAATAAACACACCCCCAACCCCACCCCCTCAGCTTACCATACCTACGCCACAATTTTTCCCTATTTAAATAATAATATTTTTAGGTAAGACAGGGACCAAGTGCATAACAGAAACAAACAGTAGGGACCAAACGCGTAACAAAAACAAACAGTATGGACCTTCCGAGTTAAAAAAACAAGTTATGGACCAAGCGCGCAAATTACCCAAAACCATAGGGACCATTCGTGTAATTTACTCCATAACAAAAGGTTATTTTTTATAAAAAGGTGCATAAATCTTCTTTTTTTTTGAATTATAAAACTTGATAAAAAATATGATTTTTTTTATAAAAAAACAAATAAATAGTAATATTATAATAAATCATGACCATAAAAAGAAGGGTAAACGTCTATTTTAGAGTAAGACAAGTCGTCGTACTTGGTCATAAAATTAAACGTAACAAAAGAGTATTTTTTTATATGTGCATAAAACTTTTTATTTTTTTAAATTATCCAACTTGATAAAAAAATATGATTTTTGGTAAAAAAGAATTTTAAAATAGTAATGTCATAATAAACCATGACCATTAAAAATAAAGGGAAACGTCTCTTTTAACGACTCGTCTTACTAAGTCTTAAAAGTAAATAGAAGGAAATCTGTCTCTTTGAGACTAAGACGACTCGTCTTACTCGATAACATAATTAAACATAACAAAAGGAGTATTTTTTTAGAAGGATGCATAAACCTTTTATTTTTATTTTTCAAATTATCCAACTTGATAATAAATATGATTTTTGGTAAAAAAAAAAATTAAAATAGTAATGTCACTGTAAACTATGACCGTTAAAAAGAAAGGAAAGCATCTGTTTTAGATTAAGATGAATCGTCTTACTAAGTCACAAAAGTAACATAACAAAAGAGTGTGTTTTATAGAATGGTACTTACAACTTCACATCATAAACTCCTATTTTTTAATTATATAATAAAATTAATAATAATTAAAATTTAAAAATATAAGATTTAACAAACAAAAAAATAGTTACATTAGTTTATAAAACAAAAATTGAATAGTAGATTAAGAAAAACAAACAAAGGAAAATAAAAATTACATATTTTGCTTATATTTGTCGCGAACTTGTTTTTATATTTGCTTAAAACGTCCCTAGGCCCTCACACTCGTGATTGTCGGCCGATATCTTCAACATTTTAGTATCGGTTATGGTTTGTCTCTCACGGTGTGCTTCCTTCATTATATCTACCTTTTCCTTTTGAATTTAAAGACAACCATCAAGATTTTCTTTAAAATAATAATGTAAGTTGTTTGGCTGATTGGCTCCGAAGATTTTTGAGCCAATCCTGATCCCCCTGATGCCACTCGCTTTTCTTTATCCATACCAACCGCTCATTGTAAGGGTTCTTCCATTTTAATTATGTCTATATCATCGTTTAGGTCGATTGTATTCTGGGGTCTGAATTCTATGTGTAGTTGTCGATTCATACGGTTTGGACCGTTTGTTTGATTCGGTAAATTTAGTAAGCATTTCAAGCACCCATTTTGGAGCATTTATCATAACTTGCCAAGCCTTGACGTATGTAAAAGGTTTATCAGTGCATTGGGTTGTTTGCTATTGTTGCAGAGCGCCACTAAATATGTCGAAGTTATTACTCCTGCTTTTATGTTGATTTGTAAGATTGTTAAAGATTTTGTTGGATTTGGTAATATTAACTCTCATATCCTGTCATTTTGAAGAAAGCACATCACTGATATAAACTCCCTTACCCATTTCCCATTTCCATGTGGAAATGGTTTAAAATTTCATCAACACTTTGGACGTTTGGTTTTTTTCATTGACATTCTCTTAGGAGATGGCTACCCAAGCTTGTGCTAAGGATGTCTCCTCCCTTTCCGTCTAATTATTTGACCCCTTTTGTGTGTTCTTCGTCTTTTTTGCCTCTTGTTTAGAGGCTTTTGTTTTCTCGTCAAGTTGTGTTCCCGGTACCAAAATAGGTGGAGAATCCAATTCCAATTGATGTTTTTGGGTTTGAGAATCTTGAAGTAGTGGTTGTTGTGGAAGTGAGATTGGTTGTTGGAAAGAGTTTGAGTGAAATGCACCTTGAAGCAAGTTTATGACCCTGCCACTCGGTGAATCATAATATGGAAATCATCGTGGTGTTTTGTCTAGGGCGAATGCACCTTCTCGAGTTGTGGTATTTGTGTTTTGTTTTGCTCAATTGTATGAGGATTAAAAGGATACTTGTGTATAGAATAGAAAAGGAAAGAGTTGTGTGGATAATATGTTTAAGACTAAATGTATTTACAAATAAATTTATAAAGATTTTAGATATATTTTATAAAAAATTGACCGTTTTCAACTGTCTCCTCCTCTTCCTCACGTTCGTACATACCACATATGATCACGCCACATTGGGTTGATGTGCATACCATGGGTTTTCGGCCACATCAGCACCATGTCACATTCGAGACACTGATATTGATATTTAAAACAACCTAATTCGTTTGAGGAGGCACAAATTCTAAACATAACTAAAATGAAAAGTTGGGTATGTAAGTGACTTTTATTGTAGCTAAAAATGCACTTTATAAAGCACATTGTACATGTGCATAATACACACTTCATATTACATCGTGACATATTCAATCCCTCGAGTTTGTATAATTTGTCACTTGCAGCCCCTTCATTTTGTAAAATGTCACTTTCACCCTTTCATTTTTTAAACTTTTTTGAAAATGTATTTTCCACCTCTATTTTTAAAATGTTAATTTGACCCCTCAACTTTGAGCTTTGTAAAATGTGACTCTTACAACCTCCATTTTCTAAACTTTTGTGTTTATCCCCCATAGTATATATAATTTGGTTTTCTTTAATAATTTTCGTTCGTTTACATAAAATAACTAAATTTATCCGCCACTACATCTGTCGATCTCACCAAATTATTTATTTGCTTTTTTTATGTGTGTCGTTTTTATGTACTTGTCAGTATAAATTTAAGTTTATTTATGTTTCGATATAAATTTTGTGTATGTTTACGTGTTTTTTTAATCTAGGTTGAAGTGGCAGCGCATTTTTTTTTGTCGAACTTTAGTCCTTGCGTTTTGGTTGTTGTCGTTTTTAGTCTTTGCTTTTATACCATTGTATTCTGGTCTATGTAATGGTCTTACATTTTTATGGATTATTCAAAAACCATACAACTTATAAAAATAGTTCCTAAACTCTTCTAAACTTTTGATAAAATCACCAAGCACTCATTTCTTTTAAACTTTTAGTTTTTTAGTTTTTTAGGAAGCTGTGATATGCTATACTGGCTAATCAATTCTCATGCCTAATACGTATGAAAACACATAACAACTGGCAAACTCAAATACTAGTTCTTATGTAATTTACATGGCCCACCTATGTAATTTGTGCCTTTATGGTATTATAAATAATTAAATTTCATTATAGTTTAAATTAAACGTAGAAAATGTGAAATAAAAGATTTTACATAAACCGGAAGGGTTAAACTTGGCAAACTGAGGTGAGGCGTTTATGTAACAACATTGATCCACCTATGGGTGAACATTTGGACCAGATCGGATCGACTCTTGAACCAGACCGGTTTTATAGAAATTGATGGACCTTGGACCGGACCTGTTGAGACTTACTGCTTAGCAGGTCGAGGTCCGGTTCCCGGTTCTTGGACGTAAAAGTGAGCATTTGGACCGGACCTATTTTGTAGAAATTGATGGACCTTGAACCGGACCTGTTGAGCCTGAACCTGGTTTATGGACGTAAAAGTGAGCATTTGGACCGGACCTATTTTTGCAGAAATTAATGGACCTTGGACCGGACCTGTTGAGGCTTACCAGGTCCAGATCAAGGTCCGATACGAAGATCCAAATGCTCACCCTAGATCCACCCATGTAATTAGTTTTTTTTTTTTTTTTTTTTTTTTTTTTTTTTTTATAAATTATAAAATTTAAATTAGCCATCATATAACAGCTTGGTGATCAAGAATTATAGCATATGTCGTTAATAACCAGATATATAGGACGACTTGGGAGGAAACACCTAGCTGTTTCCTGTATCAAATATCATACTTGTGTGTCTATGCAACTGCTAGTGCATATAACTAGACCGTGAAGAATGGGTCAGAAAGCTATGGCAACTTTTGGAAAACAAGGAGACAAAAGGACTGTCTATGTCGGTTGACTTATTGACTATATGTAACGTAAAACAGGAGTCGTGGAAGGCCAAGTCAATAAAAGTGTGTAGACTAGAGTATACGTAATATAATAATGATTACTTAACTAATGTTCGAAATTTTTGTGTTCAACCAGATCACATCTTCTCACTCCACTTTAACAGTTAGCTTCCTTAAAATAATGGCAGATCGCAAAAGTATATTCCTCATCCTCACAGCTTTATGTTGCTATTTTTTCTGCAATCATTGTTACGCAGAAACAGATACCTTACAACAAGGTCAACATCTTACCGACTGGGATGAACTGATTTCACCAAAGAAGGTATTTTGTTTGAAGTTCTTTAGCTTCGGCAGTAGCATAAAACCTTATTTAGGGATATTCTACAATTACAACACCCTAAAAAGAACTTCTGACGGATATGATAAGTTATACTTGAAAGATAAGCCGGTTTGGGTAGCAAACAGAAACAATCCGATCACAGATATATACGGCGAACTCCTGATAGATATCCATGGCAAGCTGAGCATTTTATCTGGTGGAGGCACTGTTGTTGATCTCTTCAGTAGTCCTCCAATAACACGCAACGCAAGTGCTAAACTGTTGGATACTGGAAATTTCGTGTTGCAAGAACTGTATCCAGATGGGTCAGTTAAGCGGGTTTTATGGCAAAGTTTTGATTACCCAACAGACACCCTTCTTCCTGGGATGAAACTGGGGATTAATCTCAAGACTGGCCATGGATGGTCACTCACTTCTTGGAGGAGTGAAACGTTACCAGCCGAAGGGTCTTTTACATTAACAGGAGACCCAAATGCCACATCAGGTCTAATGGAAATGGTGATCCTGAGGAGAGGGAATGTTCACTGGAGGAGTGGATCTTGGAAGAATGGTGGATTCGAAAACACTGGTCTACAATTTTCTCCCGATGTCCACCTCTACTATGTATCTAATGAGACAGAGCAATCGTTCACATATCTAACAAAAACCTACGATTCATCGCCAGCTCTGACCATGTATTTAAACGGTCAACTTAAGGGTTCAACTGTAAACTTAGACGTCCAGTGTAGCTCAATCAAAGACGCTGGTTGTGCTGAATCTGACGTCCTTGAAGAGATGAATTGCCGGAAATATTGTTTTTTCCAAAGTAAAGATTCTTTTGACCACATATATGGGGATGAGTATGAATATGATGAAAGCCATAACTTGACTGTTTATGATTGCCGAAGAATATGTTGGAACAATTGTTCTTGCGTGGCCTTTACTTATGCAACCGCAGATGGGGCAGGGTGCAAGACTTATAATAGTCAAGGGATACTCCGCTCAGAGGAAGCTAAAGATAATATTCCATACAGCGTCATTGAGTGTCATCCAAATCCTTATAGCGGTTAGTAAGTACATATTCTTGATGATGCTTTGATACGTAAAATGATAGTTATTTTTCTTGATATAATCTTTTTTTCCTTTCCAATAAGTTTATTTTATTTAAAATTTCTTTTGTTGGGTTGGACAAATTAAAAGTCGTTCCAGTCCCCTATAGTGGTTCTACATTTTTGTAGTAAAGTAAAGAAGAATTATATGTCGGCATTTTCTGCAAATGATCTCAGCGACTTAATAACAGCAAAAGGTTGCCTATACATAAATGAATAGTTAATTTTCTTGATATGCAGAATTTAATGAGGAGAAGAAGAAGATGAAGAAGAAGAACCGGATTTTGTCGATCATCGGGATTGTCTCTATTGCTCTATTCCTATCATGTTATTTCGTATACAAGAAGCTGCATATTAGAAGTATGAACTTCAACTTTTTAATCTCCACTTAGATCCAAATATTATATATATATGCTGTCCATCATTACAGAAACTTGATAAAGAAACGCTCTGTATATAATGGCCAATGTATATCTACAATCAGATGGTTTCACCCTTTGTACTTTCAATATATTAACAAGTTATAGACTGATGAAAGAACTTTGGAAGCTGACTACATCTTACCACCCCTTACCCTATTCTTGTGGGGAATGGGGCATTGTTATTGTTTGTATGTTTTAAAAGACTGATTAAAGAATTTTGGGATTTTAATTATGTTACAGATGAAAGAGAGTATGAACTTCAAAAACAGACATTCTAACTAACCACTTTTTCTATATAAATTAACAAATTAGGGGAAGCTGTTAGAGACGCCATACTGTTTGGTGTTTTTAAAGCAAAGAAAATCCAAAAGCTGTTGCTGCATCAGTTGAGGCGCCTGTACAAAAATATACAAACAGATATGAAGATCAACCCTGAGCTGCATTATTTCACCTTTCAAACCATCTCATCTGCCACAAACAATTTCTCAAGCGCTAATAAGCTAGGGCAGGGTGGCTTTGGAGCAGTTTATAAGGTAAACTTTCAAACACACTCTATAATATTTTATTAAGAAGATTCCAGATATATAAAAGCTGATCAAGTGATGGGTCTCACAGGGAAAATTAGTTGATGGGCAGGAGGTTGCCGTGAAACGACTTTCAAGAGGCTCTGAACAAGGAATCAAGGAGTTCAAGAATGAAACTGAACTCATAGCCAAACTTCAACACACGAACCTTGTCAAGATTATAGGGTGTTGCATTGAGAAGAAAGAGCAAATTCTTGTATATGAGTACATGCCTAATAAAAGCTTGGACTCCTTTCTATTTGGTAACATCTAATAAACATTTGCTTCATTTTGTATATATATGATGTTGCTGTTTTTTGGTTGCTGCTACTCATTTAATTGTTAACAGATCCTAGGAAGAAAGGATTACTGGATTGGAATACCCGGTTTGTAATCATTGACGGCATTGCTCATGGACTCCTATATCTCCATAGGTTTTCAAGGCTGAGGATTATCCATAGAGATCTGAAAGCGAGTAATATCTTGCTAGATGACTACCTGAAGCCAAAAATATCAGATTTTGGTATGGCTAAGTTATTTGGGATCAATGAGTCTGAAGCAAATACAAGTCGAGTTGTTGGAACACGGTGAGTCCATAACCTGTCTTTTGTGAATATGAGTCCCTTACACAAACACTTAACCGGTGACTCTTGATTGGATATACAGTGGTTATATGCCGCCGGAGTATATGTTAGAAGGCTCTGTTTCAACAAAGACGGATGTGTTTGGTTTTGGTGTTTTGTTGCTTGAAATAGTAAGCAGCAAGATGAATCATGGGACCTATGATGTGGAACACCCACTCAACCTTCTAGGGCTTGTAAGTTATTCTACCCAAGACTGAGTTTCTTCATATGATTAACATCTTTATGTTGCATAAATGTCTCAGGCATGGGAATTGTGGAATGAAGGCAGAGGTTTGGAGTTGATGGATCCAGTACTGGAAGATTCATGCACTCCCAAGGAAGTAATGACATGCATCCATGTGGGTCTGTTGTGTGTTCAAGATCATGCTATGATTAGACCTACCATGTCAGAAGTTATTTCTATGCTCACAAATGAAAATATGCATCTACCTGAACCAAAACGACCAGCTTTCTTCATTGAGAGGCATGAGCCAGCTTCAGCAAGAGATGATAATCTGGAAAATGGCTCCGTGAATGGGCAATCGATTTCAATTTTAGTGGCGAGATAGGAGGAGAAAAAAACATGTGTAATACCGTTATATTATCACAAGCTGCATGAAAAGAAGTCAGATCGGGTAGTAATACATTGTTCACCATGTTAATGATTTATATATTTTAGGTGTTCAAGATGGCTAGAAACCTAGTTTAGTTGCATATTACCCTAATTTAGCTACGGAATAGCTACGGAATAACGATGGAAGTGAATCCGTAGCTATTCTGTAGGTAATTGCCTACGGAATAGCTACAGATTAGCGATGGAAGAACATCCGTAGGTAATTACCTACCGAATAGCTATAGATTACTGAGGGAATAAAATAGCTACAGAATAGCTACGGAATACCAATGGATTTATTAATTTCCATTATTATTATTATTATTCCCAATATTATTATTTTTCATTAATATTCATCTTAAATTTTTTTTTGAATTGTTTGTTTTTACATATTTAAAACACGAACAATTAAAAATCATACTATTAATAATATTTATAAACATAATGATAATATATAATAATGGTAACGAATGTATTTAGCACACAAACGATTAAACGAAAAAAAACTACATTTAGCATATCAATAAAGTGAAATAATCTACGTTTAATGTATAAAAATGAAAAATGATTATAATAAGGGGAAATATGTACATTTATGTGTATGTATGTATTTATGTATGTATGTGTATGTATGTATATGTATGTATGTTTATGTATGTGTACGTACGTGTGTGTGTATGTGTGTGTGTATATATATATATATATATATATATATATATATATATATATATATATACACGTACGTACACATCGATTCGCACAGCTCTGCCGCCGCCTCACAACGCTGCTTTCTTATCTTCCCGTCACCATCGATTTGCTGGCGTCGTAGATTCCTTACTGCCACCATCGATTCTCTGGCGTCGCAGCAGGGCAGACCACCACCCTACCACCCGGAAGGCCGAAAGGGAACACAAAATTTCCAAACTCCAACGGCCAGCCCCACACCTCCACTCCTCCATCGGGTAATATGCTTGTTTATTTTTTCAGTGCATTTGAATGTCTAAGACTCGTTTTTTCTTCAATTTTCAATACATTGGAGTAGTCCAATCTGACAGTGATTGTAAAGTCATTAGATTGGATTTCTGAATGCCAAAATTTTGCCCATATTATAATTTGCACCTGTCCAAAGTTTGCAGATCAATGAAGAAAGAAGGTGCTAGTGAACTATCTCATGGCTCTATTTTTGGACCTTCAAATGATATCTATAATGAGTTAGTATCACCATAACACTCTATTTCATTTTTATAATAGAGAGAGTTAGGTATTATATTATTTTCATATGTTGTTATCTTAGCATTATATGCCTGCAGAATGGTTTCATTTGGAATGGAGGATTTTGCTAAAGAAATATGGAGCAATGGAACCTTCTCAGTTTGTTGATGTAATGTCGGTTGTTGGCAATAGATATGATGATAACATAACATGTATGTTTTGGTTCCTATTGTGGGAATAATTATTGTTAGTTGTAATAGGTTTTATAATCATGTTAGGGTTTTTGTATGTTCATATTGATACCTAGTTAATGAGAAGGTTGCATTTATCTCATCTGATAAAATTACTTATTGGCATGAACGCAGGATTTGATGGAATTGGGGATATACAAGCAGTGCAACTAATCTCAAAATTTGGTATGTAAACTTTCACATCTCATGAATACATATTTTAAAATATCAAAATTTCCACATTTGTAAGGTTATTGTTTTCTTTTTTATTTGAGGTGTCATAGACAATGCTATAACTCATTACTTGTTAGACACATTGGAGAATTTGATGCAACACGTTGATCAAGTTGAAGAGGCACATTGGAGAATTTGCAGGCACAATTTCAAAGGTAATGGAAGTAGAAATGCAACGATGACAAACACAACTTGAAAAGCAATTCGAGACCTAGTAATCCACCAAATGATTCTTAATTTTTATGTTTTAAATACTTAGTAATGTATTTGACACTTTGAATGTATAAATGATGTTTATTGTAATGTTTATTTTTGGAAAATGATATTTTTGTAATGTGTTAATCGCTTAGTAATGTATTTGACATTTTGTAGTTTAATTAATGAATTTTTATTTTATTTTGGCCAAATTAATTGATTATTTTTCTAAAACTTTATTGTTTTTTTTAAGAAAATGCATGTAGTGACAGAATACATATGGAAAATCCGTCACTAAATAGGTCTGTAGGTATTCCGTAGGAAGAAAGTCAATTTTAGGCAAACTTGAATTCCGTAGTTAATTCGTAGGAAATCCATAGCTAAAAAGTTCTGTAGCTATTCCGTAGGAAAAAGTCAATTTTGGTCAAACTCGACTCGCATGGGTAATCCGTAGGAAATTCGTAGCCATGTGTTCATAGCTATTCCGTAGGAAAATAGTCAATTTTAGTCAAACTTCACAACCGTCGGCAATCCGTAGGCACTCCGTAGCAATTCATTTTCGTTGCTAATATGTAGGTATTATACCTACAGAATAAGCCGTAGCTATTCCGTAGCAAATCCGTAGATATAAATTTCCCACGAGCATTTATGCTACAGGCCTTTTTCCATAGCAAATCGGTAGGTATTGCCTTATACCTACTGAATACCTACAGATTGTGCCGTAACTATTGCTCCAGTTTTCTAGTAGTGTGTTGTTATTGCAACCCTTCTTTAAAAGTTTTTCATTTGACTGTGCTATACTATAATTTTGCTTGTATGTAACCCTTTTTCCATTGTTACATGATTTATATTTCATGTAAATTTCGAAATTATCATCTAATATGGAGTTATTAGATGGTTATTAGGACACCATTTATTTAGTAAGGTTATTATACAAAGTGATGTAGATGTTTATTTATTCTCTCATTTTTCTTCTCTTTCTCTCCTTGGGGTGATGATTTTCACAAGTCAATTAACCTCCATTCATTGTCGAATTTATTAAGTGAATAAGAATGTCTTGTGGTTTTTCCTGCAACAGTTTTCCACCCAATATTCATGTGTTTGTTCGTGATATAATTTTTTGAAGCATCTTATAGTCAGGGGCGGACCCATAAATTCATACTAGGTGTTGTCGAGTCGAAGTAGGTGTTGCCGAGTCGAAGTAGATGTTGCCGGTGCCGAAAAAATAGGTAAAAAATCGAAAAATCGAAGAATTTTCCATTGCATACAGGAAAAATAGGTGTTGCCGGTGCAACACCGGGCACCACTACATATCCACCCCTGCTTATAGTTCTTATAAGTGATATTAGAGTCTACAATCCCAAAACTCATGATCACATGCCTTTTGATCGACATTCTTGAACAAGGTTGTTGCTTGGTACTATCTTTTTTCCCTACCCTTGTCGATTTTAGTATACCCTTCTAGGGTTTTCTACAATTAACTTTTCCTCTCATCTCTCATTGTATAGCCTACCCTTATAATTGGTTTTACCTTAGGCAATCTCTAAATCCAAAATCAATTTTTCTAATAAACATGTGCCCTTTTCGTGTCTTTTTTCCATTAGTCTTTTAGAGGTTATATAAATTCAACTTTTTCATGGCTATTGTCAAGTATCACCTTCCACTTCTGGATTGTTGCACTAGGTTTTGCCTTTGAAAAGTGAGGATGAGAAATATATTTTGGCTCAAGAGGACTATTAAGATGCTTTAGATTCTTTTGGATTAAAATTCCAAGCTACTTGGATTCCCGATGAGAGTGAAGGATCGTAGTGCCTTAAATCAAATCTGATTACACATTTACAATAATATTCTCCAAGAAATACTCAATGAAGGAACTACAACTATTATTTGGTTAAAGCTAAAATCAATCTCATGAAGAAATATATTATTAGTAAGATCCATCTAAAAAAAGTTTTTCCTACATAAACTATAAGAAGGTGGTAATATACTTAGCCACATATTTAATTTCAAGGAGATCGTGTCTAATTTGACAACTTTGGAAATTATGTAGGATAAAGAAGACCTTTGTTAGATTCTTTTATATTTTCTCCCAAGCTCATATTCAAGCTTAAAGGGTACTATTCTTATAACTGTGATACACTTACCTTATATGGACTTTATGAAACTTTCTAATCAGAAGAAAAGATGAAAAAGATGGTATCTTTAAACATAGCAAGCACCTCAAAAGGTGAAGGCTTATTAGTTCCTGGTCGTTCTAAAGAAAGAGGTTCTCGAGGCAAGAAAGGATGTTCCAAATGACTCATATTCATACAGAATTACACTTATAAAAAAACTATTTACATGCTTGTTTCATTAAATAGTGACAACCGCAACCACATCCACTATATTATATTCTTTTATAATGCTAATGTAACATCTATTTTCCATGTATGAATTGATTTCACGTTGATTTTAAATAAGATTGAGAATTGGGGTTTTTGGCTAAGCATGATGTGTTCCACGTCGATAAGTAGCGACGTAACCATGTATTGGTTGTAATGTGAATCCGCCACAACCCAAAACCCTACATCTCAAGCCAACATATACTTACACCGATCAATCTTCGCAAAGTCATCTACCAACACTAACTTCTCAACCACCTTCACTTAATTAAACAATGCAATATATATTTACACCAATCAATCATCCCTTTTTCAGAAAGCCTTCCTCGTAACTAAACAGTCCAACATATATTTACACCATACAATCTTCTCAAAGTCACCTACCAACACCAACTTCTCAACCACCTTCACTTGTTAGTTCCTATCAACATCGACTCTATAAAGGTATTGGTGAACAATGTCAGGAAATTAAGCATGAACATCAAATTGTCTTCTTTTGTATTTATGACCTTTTCCAAATACGCTTCATCGCTATACTTTTTTTCTGAATATTTTCCCTTTCATTCTTTAAGAACAACATTGCCTTTTTCAAAGATGGCAACATATTAATGTCCAACCCATCCATTGGCAATCTCATCATATAATGCACCATATCTTTTGTAAATATGGGGTTGGGATCACTTCTGACATTAGATGTACCTAGTGTTCTGGAGTTGCTCAACTACTATATTTTAGATGCCTATGATCCAGAAAGCAATAGACTTATGCTAGATAATATAGTAATTGAGATAACAAAGATATGGTTGAAGTTTGTATGTGTTAAGTCCCTTCGGGGAAAATTAGAAGAAAAGAGAGAGGAAGTTCTTTGTTTATATAGCTTGGAGAATACTCAAGTCAATGAGGAGACTGTTAAAATGTGGCTTGAGCTCTAGGTGATCAAAGGGTACTTAGGTGATCAAAATGTGCTCTAGGTGATACAAGGGTGCTCTAGATGATCAAAAGGTGCTCTTGGTTATCAAATGTGATCTAGGTGATCAAAGGGTGATCTAGATGATATGATGATGATGATGTGCTCAAGGAGTGAGCCCATGAAGGGTCTGCACCTTTAGGTGCGTCAAGCCTGAAGATGCGCCCTAGAGGTGCGCTCCATAGAGTGTGAAGGTGCCCTATGGATGTGATGACACCTCTAAAAGGTGTCGTATATGTCTAATAGTGCTCTTCATACAAAAGTGATCTCTTGGTGATAAGGGGCTCTTGGTTGTACAAATGTATTCACTTTATAAGAAGGTGCTCCATACACAGTAAAGGCATCTCAGGTGTATGGCTGGTGTCCATGCACATTCCTCAAGGTGTAATTCTCTAGAAGTGACTACATGACATGATTTGATTGGTTGATATCTGATTCTTGACAAGTGATACCTGAATCATAACATGGTTTGTTTAAGAGGTGCATTGCAAACACAATGCTACAATATTATAACGACCAAAAATCCTACCACCAACGATGTTAGTTTCCATTAAAGGTATATTTATTTTCATAAAGTTGTTTCGATTTTGAGTTATAAAACTAATAAATTAATTAAAATCAATGTTAATTAATATTTAAAAGAATTAGTTAATAATTTAAAGGTATACAATCCACATAAGCTATATATAAGGTTTAGGGGTTAAAGTGATATTTATGAAAGTGTTGAATTTAGTGTTTTGGGGGTAAATGTGCCATTATGATGAACGTTAGGGACCAAGAATGAAAAACTTGTCTAATTGATCTCCCAAAAGAATAGGAAACGTACGCATATCTCGTCTCCTTCCATTTCAATGCCGACGACTCAACTATCGTTCCTCGACACTAGGAAAAAAAGTCGTAGATACACTCCTTCATTTGGGTTGTTTCATCGTCGACAAGTAAAGAGGAATGGATTTTTTTCCGAGGATGTTACTTCTGGCGAACGTCTACAACAAGAGACATGCGACACAATCATGTATTTGAGCAACGTTATCAGAACCTAAAAGGGACGAGATGAGTTCTATTGTTGTGTATCCTTGATCGCTGGCCAGAAAAAGAAGAGGCAAGGCTGTGTCAGGCTGGAAAAAGAAGGAAAAAAGAAGTTGCTATGATGCTATCTAACCATTAGGTAACTATTCTTGATCTATATATTTGATTACGAGGATATATCATATGATTTTTATGTGATAAAATCATATATGTCAAGTGTATATCTACAATCGATGGGAACTTTATTTTACTCTTATTTTATTTTAACCATGGGAATAAGTGATACAACATAAGTTGATGTGATTCATTGAGTAATATCTTCTATGTAAGAATTTTTAGGATACAAGGTGAGTTAAGGCACCCCTACCTGAACTAAGCCAAATAAAAAGAAACCATAAGCATGGGGAGATGATGCATGTATGTGGGCCATGTCTAAGAAATTGAATTTGTTGGTGAGGGATAATTGGAGTAATGCAACTTATTTTATATATGTTTTATGGGAAGGAAATTTTAATGCTTAATTAGTGGTTAAGCATGCGTATGTAAAAATTGAGTGGCTTTAATCCATTGTCTTAGTTATTGAAGTATGTGGTGATGTTTGTGAGTTAGAAATTTTGGACAGAT